AAGAAAGATCTATATAAAAATAGATGTATGAGGAGTATATTACTTGGTATGCATCAAAGAAGGAGATGAATAGAAGACTATATTTTGAACCAAATATGGATATTTTGAATATAATGTCATGTCTTTTGAACTCACAAATGTACTACCTATATTTCAACATTTAATAAATAATATCTTCCATGAGTTTATTGATGATTTTATAATCTATTATCTAAAAAATATTTTAATCTACTCTAAAACATAAGATAGCATGAATTTTATGTTTATTTCTTGCTATAAAAATTTAAAGATACAAGATTATATACTAACTCTATTCAAGTTGATTTCTTAGGATATATTATTTTTAATCATGGCCTTATTATAGATCCTAAAAAGTTCCAAACTATCATAGATTAGAAGATTTCAAAAACAATTAAAGTCATGAAATGGTTTTGTAAAATTTACCAATTATTATTGAATCTTTATTAAGAATTTTTTTCAAATTGAGGCTCTTCTTATACATCTCATATGTAAAGACAAACTTGAGTAGAATAAAGAAGGTAAAGTATCTTTTGAAGCCTTAAAGACATCATTTATTTTTACACTAATTTTTATTGCATTGACTTTTTCAAGGCATTCTTTATGGAAATAGATATATCAAATTTTGCTATAGATGAGGTATTGTCACAAATGAGAATAGATGATAAATTCCACTTAGTAGCTTTGTATTCTATGAAATTTTCAATCACTCAAATTAACTATAAGATCCATGATAAAGAACTTCTTATAATCTTAGAATTATTTCAAGAATAGCATCATTATCTAAAAGATGCTTTTAGTCTAGTCATCATTTATATAAATCATAAGAATCTTAAGTACTTCATTTTGACACATGTTTTGAATTGTTGCCAAGTCTATTGAAATATATCTTTATCAAGCTTTGATTTCAATATTACTTATTAACTTCGATAATAATAAGGTTTGTTACATGCCTTTTCTAGATGTTCTTATCTTATATATAAAAAAAAATGCTTTTTTTGATTAAAAAAAAGATAATTTTCTTAAAGTTGGACTATTTTCAACTTTGACTAATAAAATCAACATTGACTATTGATTCAACCATTTTCAAGCAAATTCAATTGAGTGTGTCATCATATTTTCTTATTTATAATATTAAAAATAATTCTTCTAAATCTCATGAGACTTCTAGGTTTGAGTTCAAGAATAGTATATTCTATTTAAAAGAATAATTATATATTCCAAAAAATAAAGCACGATTATGTATTTTTTAATCTCATCATATTTTTTAACAACTGGATATTTTTGATACAATAAGACTTTGGAGCTAATATTGAAAGATTTTTGGTGGCTTCAAATATAAAAGGGAATAAAAGACTTTTTATGTGACATTTGTTTTAAATCAAAAATTCTTTGTCATCAATTTTATGGACTTATTTAATTATTATCTATTCCAAAACAACTATGGTCTATTGTTTCTATGGTTTTTATCACAGATCTTTCAATTTCATATTTGTATGATTTTATATTTGTAATATTAGATCATTATTTTAAGATGGTCTTTTTTGTACCATTTACAAAATCTATCATTGGTGAAAAAATAGCTATCACTATCAAGGATTATCTAAAGATGTTATATTAGATAGGTAGATTCAATTTATATTAAGATTTTAGAGAATCTTTTTTAAGATTCTAAAGATGGATATAAAGTTTTTTTTGGCTTTCATTTTTAAATTGATAGATAAACAAAGTGCATAAACCAAATTTTGAAGCAATATTTGAAATATACCATCAACTACCAATAAGATGATATGACAACTTTTTTATCATTTGTAAAATTTTCTTATAATAATATAATACATTCTTCTACATAATTTTTATTTTTTTTTATTTTTTTCTATTAGTTATAGTTATCTTCTATGACTTGATTCTTTTGAAATTTCAAAAGATGATAATCTTACAATGAAAGATTTTTCAAATCATTTATTTGAACTACATACAACAATGAAGGCACAACTAAAAGAAGCTCAAGAATGACAAAAGACCAATGCAGATGCCTATCACAAGGAACAACCTCAATTCTACATTTGCAATAAGATATGATTATTTTATCACAATATCAAGACTAGCCGCCTTTATGATAACTTAGATTATTATAAGCTTGAACTATTTCCTATTTGTCAATAAATTAATCCAGTTGCTTATTGATTACTTCTATCAAAGTCTATAAAGATCCATCTTATATTTTGCATGTCTCTTCTTGAACCATATAAGACAATGAATATCTCAAAAAGATAACAAATGCTATTTTTTTTTTTATATATATAGAAATAGATAATAATCAAGAGTTTAAGGTAAAAGAAGTTTTAGATGAAGGTAATATCAAAATAGATTAGAATATCTTATTTATTGCTGCAAATATGATATTAATGAATGTACTTGAAAGCTAGCTAAGAATCTTGTAAATGCAATAAAAAAAGTTGATGCTTTTCATTGATATCATCCATCAAAACTAAGGTGAATAATAATAAATCTTTATTATTTAAGAAATGAAATTCAAAAAAGATTATATTTTACCTTCTATTTTTGTTTTTAGTTTTTATATATTTATAGCACTAAAAAAATAGAAGACTAATAATCAATAGATTCAATTCAAGAGCTATCATTTGCGGACTTATCAAACAAGACATTGTGATTGTCACAGCCTTCAAGTTAATATAATTGAGATGAAGATCCTAAAAATGACAAGGTCTTCTTTGAATAGATAGCAAGATATAATTTCTTTGATATCATGACCTTGGAAGAGATTCCTAATGTTTGATAATTTTATTGAAAGTAAGAACAATATTTGATGGTCTTACAAATGTTTTTTTTGAAAGAAGTTATGAAAGCATCAACAATGATTAAATAACAAGGTGGTCTTCTTACCTTAGAATAGAACATTATTGATGGTTGAGAGGACTTATCAACCACCTTCGAAGACAATAAAGATTAGAATATGTATCAAATATAGTTTACTGCATCTTAGACTTCTTTAATATATGATGATTGCTTCTTATAGAACTTATTCTTTGAAGGAGAAAAAGAAGAGGGAAGAAGAATAATATCATATATATATATATATATATATATATATATATATATACTTAAATAAGAAGTACTAGATAGAAAGTAAATATAGATAGATTTGATATTATCTTATGATAAAGCTTTTTAGAAGCTTTAAAGACATATATTTGATTTTATACAAAGTCATAGTTGATTGATAGATTAAAAACTTGGATAATAAATTAGCTATATATTACATGTATAGATAGCTTGTAGTACAAGCTAACAATGTAGTACACATATAGAATACTTACTTTAGAAATTAAGCCACATGTTTTATAATTGGACACATGTTGAAAATCATGTAGGATGTTGTCACATATCTTATACTTGGACAATATATATAGAGGCAAGAGTAAAGCCTTCTTCACTCTTGTTAATATCTTTTTAATTTGTAGTCTTGTTTCAAAACTTTCTATTCCTTTTAACTTTGGTAATAGTCATATTAATTTAATGTTATATCACCTTTGAGTAATTCTTTAATATTTTTGAATAACACAAGAGTGTATTGATCTTTTAGTTCTTTGAGATTCATATCCTTGATACCTAACTTGTAATACAAACAATATGATATCATTGAGTAGAAAGAAAATAAGATAATATAATATGTAGAATTGATTTTTGGATATTTTAGAATAAAATAGAAAAAAATAGTAAAATTATAAAAAATATTTTTATTGCAACATATATTAAAAATACATAAATTTTAAATTACAAAATATTAGATTAATTAATGTTAATAAAATAAAAAATTATATTATAAAAATAAAATTTTTAAAATAATTAGATAATTAAGATATAGAAATAAAAATATTAAAAAGTAAAGAATTGATTGTTATTTGATTTATATGATTGATCCTTGATATATGTAAAAAGATAAATTATATTCTATTTTAAAAGATATTCAATTATATTATTAAAGATAGAAAATTTGGTTAATTTAAAGAAGTCAAGATGTATATTTTTTAATACAAAGAAGGTCTATTGCATGATTAAGTTGTATTGAGGTAGATTGAGCTCTCAATTGTATTATTTTGATATATAATTTTGACTTAGAAAAGAATATAGAAGTAAAAATAGTTTTCTTATAACAAACTAGTTGAAAAGTATAAATTAATTAATATATAATAGGATTAAGTTGACTTGTGAATATATCAAGTAAAAGAATAGAGAGAATTTAAAAATAAAATTTTATTATGTCTTTTGGAGATACAATTTAAAATAATAAAAAAATAAAGATGAAGAATTATTTTGGGCTATTTAAAAAATAAGATGATAAGAAAGAATGTAGATATTAATAGAAATTAAGCATAATTTTTATATTAAAAAAATAATAGTATTATATATATATATATAGATATATATATATATATATATATATATAGATTATAGTTGTTGTGGTATATATATATAATTATTTAAGATTATAAATAGGATTGAAAAATTCATTGATATTTGATTCAAAAGTAACTTTAATTATGGAATTAAGATTTGAGATGTATCTAAAATTTATAATATAACTGAAACTTAAATAAAACTATATCTAAGAATAAAATTTAAGATTTGTAACTTTCACCTGAATTCTTGAAGATTAAAACTTCGAATTTGATTACAATTTATCTTTGGATCAATTAAAAGAATAAATTAAATTAATTTCTTAGATTCAAAATTTAGATTCAAGATTTACAATGATTAGGTTTCAAGATTAAAGTTTTAAAAGATTTTAATTTTGATTCAAATATTCCGCAACTAGTAAAGATTGGCTACAATCAATAATGTGGAGTGCTTCTGAATGCTTGTATTCGGTGCATCGAAAGTAAACCAAGTCATTACATAACTGAGTAACTTGCTATTTGGCTAATCACAGACGACATCAAACACAAGAACCTTTCTAAGATAAAGTTCCCTTTATTAGATGCTTGTGAATAGATTACTAAAAAATGTACGTCACCCAACTATTAAATTATTCAAACATTTACACACAATGCAGGTATACTTTATGTCTTGGTAATCCAATCTACACACGTTTCACTGAAGAAAATTCGTATCCACACATGAGAATTGTGGCTGCATTCGTGTTGAAAAATCCTGAAAAGTAATGAGCGTATGATATTGAACTTGGTATGGCGTGTATCCGGGTGAACCCACCTCCCCCCCTTGTCGACTGGATCCAACTGGCTGCAAGTGCATTTTCGATGAAGTCATCTCTTCTCCACTCTCTATACTTTGATGAACACCGACGTACCGGTGTTGACAGTCACCTTCTTCAGTGTGAGGATCTGCGTTCGCTTGAAACAATTTCTTGCCTTCACATTGTAGAAGAATCCATCGCAGTTGCAATCAGCCGAGCAACTGGCTTTGCAGGCACCCAGTGAGATCCTGAGCGGAGTCGCGTAGAACAGCATCGCAGATTCATAGCCCGCCAATTCCACGTAATTCTTGTTGTTGCACTTTTTCACTTTTTTGTTCCGCTGGCAAACCGGTGGAGAGTTGTGGTCGGGTGAGTTCAAAGAGAAACCCGTCGGACAGCTGCATGTACACAAGTGCAAGCAGCTTAGGTCAATTAGAAAACTGCATTGGATCATTCTTTGATGCATAACACTCTCCCGATTCGACCTCCAAGACAACCATGCAACTTGGGAAATGAAGGGCGGAGAGCGAACCCAGTGCATCCGGCAGTGGTCGTCCAAGTCTGATCAGTAGTCGTAGAGCAAATGCCGTAGTTGCCACAGAAGTTGGGCAGATCGCACTCAAAAAGCGCCTGCCAACCATAGGTCCACGAAGCACCCTTATACATGAGATAGTATTTGAGGTTGCCTTGGAAATCGAGGCCAAAGTGATAATCCGCTCCATAATTTGGAACCCAGGGAGGGACTGCAGTCTTGTAGACGAGACTCCCTGCCGCTGTATAGAGGCCGATTCCATCATTGTTCCTAGCCACAGCTGCAGAGCACCCACCACGCAATTAACCGTCATGCATACCTCTGCGCTTCCGAATCATAAGGCACACGCACACAAACATGTATACAAACACACACACACACACAAATATATGTATATATATATATATATATATATATAAGATTCGGCGCTAAGTCGCAAATCTTGAGCAAATGACGTACCTGCGTATGCAACCTTGCTCACATCCTGGCTGACGGGGACTGACTTTTTAAGGCTCCAGTAAACCTCAGGGTTGGGTCCATTCAGAAGCAGCTGAAGATCTCCTCCCTTGAGAATCATGATGTAGGTGCCGTCGTTGGACAACACACGTGTATCGGAATCCGAGTTCGCATCGGGGCTGCTCAACTCTGCACCCATCCTGTCAAAGTAATCGACGAAAACCATGATTAGACGAAAGATAGCGGGCTGGACTCAACCTCAACGTGAATGTAAATGCATGTCGACTTTAGAAGTTAGAAGTTCAGCATACCAGAATTTCTGACCCTTAAGAACCAGCCATTCCTTGACATCAAAGCTGTTGAATATGGCTTTGTTGTATCCCGTCACCAGCTTAAAGTTTCCGTTATCGGGGTTGGTTTCCAACGCCATCTTCGTCACCCCTTTGCCACCGGTTTCGCTGCTCCAGGTCAGAGATGTCTTGCCCTTGTACAGAATCCACAGCTGCAGGTCTCCATTATTGGTGAATTTGACAGTGCATTTGTCTGCGCCCACTGGAGTTCCTGCATAATAGTTGGCCGACCACAAGAGGTAACCCCGGTCTCCAGGCCTATTGCTTGGATCACCACGTCCCGTATACTTTTCCCGCACACTCAAAGAGCAGACGCCTTTCATGTCACCTTCCAGCCAGAACTGGAATCTCCCAGTTTCCAGTACAGCCTTGCCTCGCGCGGGTGAATCTACGGGTAGCGTGAGGTCGACGCTCGCACTGTATCCCTTAGCGCGCGACGCTGGCGGAGTTCGTTGGGCCAAACATCCCCTCACAAGAATGCAAATAGTGACGAGGATTAATTTGTCGCTGAGGCGGAAGTCGCGAGGAGTCTGCATTGCTGTTGTCTTTGATCAATCTGCACCCAAAACGCAAATGGAATGTGAACTCAAAATCTGGAGGATCACAAACATGTGCTGCAAAGGCATGAATAAAAGTGTCTCCCTTACAGCAACATCACCACAGCAAGATCAGTTTACCCACAACACAAACCAATTCCCAAACACAACAGTACTAATCTCGCCCAGTGTCGAGATAATTCGATCCCAAGCAGTCTTTTCAAGACACCACCAGCAATAGATAGCGCAAGCACCAAATTCCAAAAACTTAACTCAAAAATCCACGACGTTTACACACATCCCCTTTCAATTGGAAACATGGCGTTTAGATATTCAATGCAGATGACCAGTGCAGAATGCAAAACCTGCAAGCCAGAAAAACAAGATTGGAACCAGCTCTTGACAATCTCTCAGTGGATCAGAAACTATTCACCGGAGATCAACGCCCCGAATAAGGCATGAGTGGGTGAAGAACCGAGTAGTTTATATCGTTGAAATGGACCACATTGCTGATGATGCCGGTCCAGTTAAAGCTGATTCGACATCACGCCGCGACGACCAGCGAACGCAAGTTCGGTTGGTCGTCTGGAGTTACCCTCGTCGTCCTGAGCATCAGTCGTCTTGCTGGTGATGACATTGCAGCCCACAAGCGTAAGGATCTGAGGCCTGAATGTCAACGATGACTACAGTTCGAAGAAACTCAGCTGGTATAGGCCCAGCTTGACCTGATCACTGCCACCTCAGATTAGTCAATACTCCTGTGGTCCTCCACGTCGGAATCCGGTGAATAATACATTTGTCATTTTAATATTCAGAGGCTTCAGTGCATTAATGTATTGTGTTGGCGATGTGCAACGGGGTAATTTAACTTCGGTGCTGACTTTGGTGGCCTGGGGAGGCTGTGGAATCAAGGCAGGTACATCTGCTGGAACCCATCTACTGGATGTGATAAGATGATCTTTTTTTGGAATGTGCACGAATTCGGACTGCTTCTCGGTGTTTCGTGGTCAGCGCTGGAGCCTTCCGCAGCCCCTTAAATAGTAAGGCAATCGGCATTTTAAATATTGTTTTGTATGGAACAATGAGATTTCAGCCGTTTTCCCTCCCCTGCGACTAAGTGCATGCTTGCACAGCAACCGTCGTGATGCTGACAGAGCCTCCGAAAGATATGAGGTGTTGTGTAAAAAACCATATATCAGTCCTCTCGGTGTTAAGGTTCCACTGGACTGTTTAGCTCTGATTTCTCGCCTGGAGGAAGGCACCCAGTCACAGGAGTCATGAGAGTGAGTGGATGTATGGAAGGACGCGTTTGGAGAAGCGAAGATGTGCACAAAATTTTACTTTTTGTATAGTTGGAAATTACTTTTTGTATATTTTTTTTTTTTTTCTTCTTCTCTCTTTTAATATTGCTATAAATTTACTTTTGCTATTTTCCACATGTTTCCCAATTGCCCCATTGCTGATTTAAGTCTGTTGTTTAAACAGGAATTGCCACTTTACCATTGCTATATCTTACCTAATCTACTTTTACTTAATAAGGGGCTCGTTGGCACTCCACTATGTAGATTTTGTATAGTAAAATCAAGATGTGTAATAGATAAAGTTGGAAATAACATCAAAGTTTTTTTTCTTTTTTCTTTTTTCTTTTTTTCTTTCCAATGCAAAAACTTAGTTATTGACAAACTAATTGGTTTTATGTGGTAACTTTGTTTTGTGGTGCTAAAATTATGTACTTAAGTACATAAGTAGTAAAAGAGGAATTTGAAACATGAGAATTGTTATCATTTGGTAGTCCTTATACACTAATAATAATTTAAGTTATGTCATGGATATTTATACTATTTAAATAGATAAAATAAAAATAAAAATAAAATAACTAGATATATATTATGTATGTAATATGTTCATTGTAAAAATTGTGCAAGTTTTTACATCTAAGTTGATTCAACAATTATCCTTTGATGTTGCAACTAGTTTTATAATACTTTATTATAAGAGCTTTGATGTAAGATAATACTATGGAAGTATTCTACAATTTAGATATTTATTCTACAAGGCTTTTATTCGTTTTTTATTATTCTCATATAACATTAATTTCTTATTTTAAATTTTTTATTAAAATATAGAAAGTCAAAACCAATGCAATACTTATATTTTTAATATTTCTTTTACTATACCAATCTTAAATTAAGAAATTCTAATAAATATATATTTAATAGATATTACTAAAAAAGCCTAAAAAATTAATATTTATTTTATGTAATATATATATATATATATATATATATATATATATAAATTATAGTAATATATATATATATATATATATAAATTATAGTAATATATATAATATGTATAAAATTTACATATAAAATATATTTTTAAATTTTTAAATTTATTATCAAAATATAATTAAGCAATTTTGTGAAGTTTTGGCTTTACTTATATAATTAAATCATTAAAAAAAATTAAGTAGAAAAGAAGAAAAGAAAGAGACCAACAAGTTCAAATCATAATCTAAGGTAAGTATCTTTTCAACAAACTTCATTGAATTTAAATTTATTTTGCTAATATAGATTATAGTTGAGGCAAAGGAGTACAAGAAGAAAGAAGATAAGCATTAATAGCTTGCAACTAAGTTAGTCCTTGAACCTTATCAATTATTCTTTCTTTGAAATTTTAAAAAATTATTTGAATACGAAGAGCGGGAGCTAGAAATTGGAGGGTAGAATCTAGGAAGAAGATGCGAGTAAGATAAGTCTCTAATATCTCTTATAGGTGTGGATGGGAGAAGGTAGATAGAACCTATAATCCATTATCTTTAAGCCTTAAATTCTTATTTAGAATGTTAGTTCGAAATTGGCTAGGAAAAGAGTCACGTATTTTGAAAGTTCATTAATAAGTGACAAGTTGATTGGAGATGCAATTAAGTGAGTTCTTTTTCAATGTGTTGTGATTTGTTTACAAAGAATTATTTTTGTAATATAACATTTATTGTTAACTATTATAATAGGTTATTTCTTAACTGTCTTATTGAGAAAAAATAAAAAAATAAAAAAAATAAAAAATAAAAAAAAACTTGGACTCCTTGCTATCCCGGTACATAATTCTTTTTCACAACTAAGATTGCTTAGGGTCACTTCTATATAACATTAGTTTTGTATAGCAATTAAAGTTGGGAATAGACTTACTTGGAGTAATACTTAAGCAAGCATTCCTCTTTTAGTTGTTTCTGTTTTGTTTTCCTTCCCTGTTAGAAGGTACTTAAGTGGGTTGCAAGTCAAAGAATCAAACATTTAAATTATCAAAAAATTAAGTAGATTAGAAATTGTGCTAAGTTAAATGCTATGTCTATAGTCATATAGATGCATCATTCTACTAAATCTAAGCAATCCAATCTATCTTTAATTATAGAAAATCTTAGATCTGTTGGCTAGAAAAACAAATCAAAGCTCAAACAAGTAAAGATTCAATAGTTGGATAGGCAATCCTCACCTCTAACACCAAAAGATATTTTTTTTTTCAAATCTAATTGAATCAAGTCTAGGCAAGGAAGTAGAAGAGAAAAGATTGGATCTTAATTCTTTTAACTTAGTTGTAGAGGCAAATCAAGAGAGAAAAGGATCAATACCTCCTTCTCCTCCAATAGAACGTGAAGGAGAATCTACACCAATTCCTATATCCATCAACTCCTTGATTCAACAAAAGGGCTTACCAATAGTAATCCCTAAGGATTTACAAGCAACTTCTATGCCTCACAACTTCCTTGTATTTAAAGGAACTTGAGATAATGATCCATCCGTTAATATGGAGAGATTCATGGAACTTTTCATGACGTGTTTAATAACCAATCTGGATTATTATCTTATATGGTTTTCAAGTTTCTTAAAAGATAGAGCTTATGAATATTATAGAAGCTACCCTCTCCAAACCTTTAAGAACTAAAACGTACTCATGAGAGCGTTTTTAGAAAATTTTAGGCCAGAAGTAGGACAAAGTAATGCCCTTACAACCATTTTCTCTTTAAGATAAGAAAAGAAGGAAGAATTCACTGAATATATTTGGCGATTTGAACTTTTCATAATTAGATATGTGGGAACTCTTTTCATGAATGATATTTTCATCTATTTTTTTATTCAAGGATTTAATACTGAAGGTACAATCAAAGAAATCCTTAAAAGAAGACTAGATTATTTAAAAGAGGCCAAAAAAATAGTTTGGATAGTAGAAGACATTAACAAGCAACAAGAGCAAATATAGAAGAAAGAAGACAATAGAATTCCCAATTTTATTCCTATACATGCCCAAAATATAGGAAATTTTTGAGGACATTTGTGTGGAAGTATGAAACCTCAATTTTATTCCATAAATTACTATTCAGCATCCTTAGAGGTTAGTCTACATCTCGTCCTTCCTGACTTGACATATCCAAAAGATAAGAATAGATAGAAGGAAGACTTTATGAATGAAGTTCTTCAAAGCCAATAAGAATTTTAAAATGAACTTGCACAACAAATGAAGGCTATGCAAGAACAAATGTTTCTTTTAATTAAGAATCAAAATCGAAACCAAGCTCCACCTCCTATAGAATCTAATAGACATACCTTAGGGCTTTGGTGCACTCAATATGATTAATTAGGGCATACAAGTTAATTTTATTCAAACTAGCAAAATAACCAGCAAAATCAAAGAGGGCCACAATTATATACTCTACCTCATAAAAATCATAGTATGGCAAGTTCCAATTTTCAATTCCAATCTTGAAAAAATTCTATCCAAGGATTTAAGAACCTATAATGACAATAACATGAGGTGCACCACTTTTGCAGAAAAAGACATATACTAGGTAGTTGTTGGATAGAAAATAAGATAGTATGTAGAAATTGTAGGAGAAACCATCCTACAAACGTATGTAGGTAACCTGACAAGGTGATTTTTTTAAAGTTCTTACAAGAAAATTATCAACAACCAACCCAAGACTAATTGAAGGAGGCAAGAAATCCAAATCCGGACAATACCTTAAGACCTTCTAACCTATTTTATGATTATAATAATGATCATCATATCCAACACTTTTTCTCATATCTAAATATATAAAGAAGATTTATTTCATTAAACATAGATGAAACTCAATATGGCCAATAAAACTAGGGAAAAAATTCACAACATATAAGGTATTTGGAAATACCAACTAAAAGAGAAGGTTCTCAAATTCTTAAAGATCAACCATCGTCTTCTCACATATATTACATCTCTCATGAACAAGCACCTAGTAAGGATAAATGACTTCCTAATATATCGGTTTTGGAAATTATGACAAGGTCTAAATATACTAGTCTTTCTCTTCTTCCTACTTCAATTGATAATAAAAATAATTCAGAAGATTTTTTTCACTTCTTAGATTTGGATGAAGCTACAAAAGATGCAATAG